GCCCCCCCCCCCCCCCCCCCCCCCATGCGGACCAGTTGTACTAACAGTTTATTTGTAACAGTAAATAACTAGTAACTGACTTGTATATCAAAGTTATTATTTATGGGAACAGAATATGGACCTCAAGGACACTGTAGACCTAAAACCCGTTACAGCGCAAATTTCATGGACATTTGTGGGTCCATGGTTCAAGCAGATAGAATGGCACAAAACTGTGACTAGTGGAGAGCTTGTGTTAGGGGGACCACAGCAGGTTGGCTCTGACCCTACAGGTCTTGGTAATGATAAAGAAGAGCTCAGCATTGTTAAATATACTTTCAGTTTATTGGAATAGCAGTTTCTCAACAGGCTTCTCCTACATGTCATGGTCAATAGCAACATCACATTAAAGTTAAGTATTGCAGTGTGTAAAATGTGAACAGCATTTATTCTAAGTACTGGAATGTCTTAACTTGGTTATCTTCTGCCACCACCAGCTGGCCAGCAGGGTTGATGTCTAATGCTCTGGGATACGACAACCCATCATCCCCAGTGGCAATGTATCTGATAAACTGTCCTTTTGGACTCAGTGCTACTATCCTGTGGTTTTGACAGTCAGCAACGAAGATGTGACCATAGCCGTCTGTGCACACTCCATAAGACCCCCACAGCTGACCATCACCACTGCCTTGTGTGCCATACTGGTACAGGCAGTTGCCAGTAGGTGACAGCACATGTACACAGTCACTGCCCCAGTCTGATACCACAACGTTATCATTCACACTGTTCACCGTGATGTATGCTGGGTATGTACACATAGTGAGTGGGATAATTTTCAGAAGCTGTCCACTGTCTGCGTGGAATGTGAAGATGGATTTCTTTTTCAGGTCACAAACCATCACATGACCTTGCCTGTTCAATGTTATACCATATGGTTCCTCAAGTTTGCCGAGACCAATGTCTTTTACCTTCTTACCTCTGGTGGAGTATACTTTGATACATTTTTTACCCTGTGATGTTATATACAGGTGACCAGTCTGTGACACAGCCACATCAAATGGATCATTTAGTTTTATGTCAAATTTGAATTGTCCTTCGTGTGTAAATACATTTGTTCTGTAATATTTGCTGTCACTATCACTGTTCACAATAAACACGTGCTCTTTATCTATGGCCAGCCCATTTAGGAACATGGTTTTATCACATTTCAGCCTTGTGGAAAATGAATGCACACATTTTGCCTTCTCTAAGAAAACAGGAGGATATGTTGCTGAGCATAGGTCTGTCCCCAGTCTAAGAGGTTCTGACTGGACGGTCATCTCTCCTAACATGGCTTCCTGTCTGGCAATAGATATGTCACCAGGGCTGTAGGATATCTGTGTTGTTGTGTCTGGAGTTGGCACTGACATTTTCTCCATCCCTGCCAATATCTCTGTTAGAGCTTTGGTGTGAATCATGATGTCAGAGTCAGAACTGGTGGTCATTTGTGCAATGGCTTGTGTCACTGCGGCTATATTGGGTTGCCCACTCTCTAATGCCCCTCTACATGCTTGTTGCTGGGTTATGATGTCCTTGGCTTTGCTTAAGACAAAGTTCTTTTTCAGCTGAGTAAGTCCACCAACTGGAAACTGGATTTCTTCCCGGCAAACAGGGCAGAGAAATGTTCTTTTTTGAGTAAGAGTTCTCTTGCTATGGTAAAATATACATCCATAGCAAAATGTATGGTAGCAAGGCAGCACACGGGGGTCCTCATACTCTCCCAGACAGATGCTACACTTCAAGAGGTTATCTTTGAAAGCTGCTGCCAATGCCTCAGCCATATTGTCACATCAGAGCACGAGGCGAGCAGTTAGTGAATAGTGTAACAGTAAAATGTAAAATCTTGTGCACTCTTTTTACTGTGGTAGCAGATGATGATAAAATGGCCTTTGAAACTTTTTATCGAAACTGTGCCATATCAGTATTGATAGCATGCACTACATATGATATGGTTGATATAATGGTTGTTAGCATAAGCAGCCATGCAGCATGCGGGAGCAACTATTCCTCCTGCTGACGTAATCATTTACTGATACAAAAGAACATCATTCTCTTAATTTTGACAACTTGAACTAACAGTGTATTACTCTGTCATTATGTTATATGTACACTTTGTATGTGGATATTGCTTTATATTGAAGTCCTTGTGAAATTATATATATATATTTTTTTTTTTTATGTNGCCTTCAGGTTGGAGATAGGCTCATTGCAGTGAGTGTCTAAGATTGAGTTTCTAGTCTTACAGCCAAGTGGTTATTTCAGTTGTACTGTATTGTATCATTGCCTGTTGAATCAGATGATGACAACACAATAAAGGTCAAATGCACCACACACATGCACCACCATACACACACATAAATAATAGTTTCTGAAACTGGTGACTGTAAATCACTTTCTGGTGGTTCATTTAGAAATCGCAAAATTTATTTTTAGGTGAATGACGTCAACCTTGAGAATGTAACGCATGAGGATGCTGTTGCTGCATTAAAAGCCACACAGGAGAGAGTGGTGCTGACAGTTGGCAAACCAACCTATCTCCAGAACACTGACTTTACAGACATGAGTCACTCCCCACAGTCATCTCCAACACCTGACACAGGTAAGACTACCTATCTCCAGAATACTGACTTTACAGACATGAGTCACTTCCCACAGTCATCTCCAACACCTGACACAGGTAAGACTACCTATCTACAGAACACTGACTTTACAGAAACGAGTCACTCCCCACAGTCCAGACACAGGCATTGTTTCTTTGAGGTTGCTGGAATATTTATCTACCACATGTAGCTGTTGCCCTAAAGAAATCCTTACTTTCTTAGTGGAAGGTGGTTTAGATGTCCTCAAGTAACTTAACAAATTTTTATGTCGTTCTAATAAAGCTAATAAGCTAATAAAGATATATTGAAGATGGCTTCTGACACTGCTGTCACTGTGTTTTTCAGTCCAAATTGTTCAGAAGCCTCCCCCTTCACCCAAGCAACAGCCGCCGCCTGCCGTCACAGTGACCAGTAACTCCATGCAGCAGATGACCAGTACACCCAAACCAACGCCACAAGTAGTGGACGAAGATATACCAAGGTGAGAGACTATAGATGGTGCTGTTGGCTGTCATCTTCAAAATATACTGGTTTCTTTTTTACTATTAGTCACATGCTTGTAATGTTTTTTCCCCTATGTCAACCACTGTTAATGTCAGCAATTGTTTTATTTTGGAAAAGGGAAACTTATTTTAATGGTACTTTTGTATATAACGTTTATTTTTGTGCTGTGTACAACTATTCATATCAAAAGACATTTCAAAAATGTATGACTGTTACAGTAATGATTATTTCAAAGATGGCAGACACATATCAGAATGATTCAGTCTGTTACAACAGTTAAATATTTATCGTAGTTTCTTAGTAGCAAAGTTTCTACATCAGTATACATGCTATAAGTTGGAGTCCTAAGGAGGAGGTCGTGATTGTGTCGTGGATGTGCTGCCGTCTCACCTAGCACAATTAGACCACCTGTGGCAGTTCTACAATGACTAGGTCTTTACTGTGTTTCAAAAAAGGTCCAAGAGGATTTATTAAAAAAAAAAGAAGAAGAAAATGTGGGATAGGTATTTCCTGTGCATGTGAAGATTAAGATTTATATGCAAATAATTTTGAAAATCCTCCCAAATGAAGTAATAAGTTGAAACACAAGTTGCATTGACAAAAATAGAAAAGAAGTGTTGATGTTGTAGTTGCTGAGTGCATGTACTTCAACGTGTGTGTACATCACAGTGTCCTTCATAATACCATATGTAATGGAAGCATTGATCCATACCCACTCTCTTGTCCAGCTGTGACCAGTAATAAATTAGCCAGACATCTTTTGACCTCTGGTCATCAGGCTGTATCCAATACCTTGTGGTACTTAAAAATACTCTTCAATAATAATATCCATAATGTTCAGCTATGTGTAAGGATGTGGATTGAAAGGGGAGGGGGGGGGGGAGAAAGAGAGATTGTTGCGGGATGTACTTGTCTTTGATATTTTCAGCTATGTTTAGGATTCAATGGATTCATGTCTGGTGTGAAGGAAGGTGGATATTTCAGTTGGATGTTTGTGTGTGGTATATGTCTGTGTGTGTGTGTGTAAACAAGCAGACATGCCCACACACACGCACACACGCATGCTGCCACACAAGTTTTAAAAAAAAGACATGTCAAGGTGCCCCACTACAGGCCTCAGTGTATACTATTGAGGGAAATTCTATCCAGTGTAACATTACACCCCGTCTCAGTATCAGTATTCATCAAGATACTAGTGGGTTTCCTACCCTCCCAAGACCTCAGCGCCAGTGCTTACGTTGTTCATGTTAAGATTTTCTAATTTCTAAAATAAACATTGGATTGGTTAATGTTGCTTTCTTTTACCTGTGCTCAACGAGGCGAGCACCAAGTTTTATTATTGTTTTCACTTCTAACTGCCATTTGGAAGAGTTCATTTTTGAAAGCTAAGAGGGGGGTGTGTGGTTAGCCTTGTGCATACTGCCTGATTGCTACAAGGAATATTTTTTGGCTAAAAATGTCATAAATAAAAATATTTTGAATAGTTTTCCATATTAAACACAAAATGGACCATTTGAGAGGTAGCAAGGAATGCTTGTATGGGCCAAGTGTTTGTTGAAAATAAAATATAAGCGGTTGAAGTGGGACCATTGTGATACAGACATAAATGTCACAGTGACTGATTAATGACTGTAAGCTTTATAAGATGACAGTAATATCCACCCCCTGGGGCCTGTTCTCCCCTCCTCCCACAGGTGCCCCAGGTGACTTACCTGACATTATGCCTTAGATAATTAGTGTATGTCATTCCTGAAATCACCTTCTAGCTATTACATGATCTGTAATAATTGAGATGAGCTGGAGGAAACCTATTGGATATCCTTACCTAGTGGCTCTGTTATCTCGGTTTGGGGGCCCTGGACAGGTATGATCAATGTTTAACTGTAGCAAGCTTAAGGTGGGAGTCAGATAAGTGTGATTTCAGTCCTGGGCCTTAAAACTTGGTTCAGACTTTATTGCTAGAAATCTGGCACTTTATGAGGAGGTGGAGTTCAATTTCCAAAATTTACTCTGAGCACAGATTTTAGATTGTAAGGCCTACTGCACAAATAAAATTTAGTGTTAAAATTGTGAGTCCCAGAGCGTGAATTAAGCATGAACATTAATGGATATCGGAGTACTTTATAGGTCCAGTGCTACCAGCACCATGTGTGGTTGATATAGTTTATGTCATGGCTGAGGGAGCTCATGTAGTAGGGTAATTTGTCACCAGCCCTGAACTAGAATTATATCTAATGTGTGCCGGGGTAATAGAATTTAAACTTAATCCCAGCAGTGAGTGACACGTTGTTACCCAGTGTGTACCTATGGCAGTATGTGTCAGCCAGCAAAGAGCGCCGGGCAAACAAAGCCTTCACAAACATCGGGTCACGGATTATTGTGCACCAATCAATTGTTGGCTATTCAGGGATTGTTATGATAGCTTTGTGTAGCACGGGGTATTAGAGGGTGCGGGCGAGTCGAACACGGAAAGTGAGTCGTTAGTTTGGCTCGTGCCAGAAAGACGAGGTGGTGTACGGCGCACATGCATACAACGTGTGTCAGCAACCCCCCAGAGAGGGCTGTATACAGTGTATGTACTTCCCTAGTGATTATCACTGATTTATGTGACTGGAGTTATGAGGAGTTACACAGCGAAGAGGACGTATTATAAAACTACTAACAGGAAGAACTTCCAGACGTAGGTGAATTGAACTGACTGATCACCAGCTGTGACCCCAGGGTCGTAGAGTATGCTGTCGTGGATTAACTCCCCTGCTGCTGGCCAGTCACTGTGACCAGTATTAGAGAGGACAGTCCATTTGTTTATACACTGACATATACTGAGTATACTGACATATTGGACAGAGAGAGAGTGGTCCCAGAGAGCAAGATCAACCTGTAGAGTATAAGAACACTGTATCTCACAATCAGGTGTAGACAGTGGATGAAGTCTGCTTTCCTCACACTTGTATTATTTAAGGGTGCAGGATTCCAGTGTTAGGATCCAGGATTCCGTGTAAGACTCCAGGATTCCAGTCTTAGGATTCAGGATTTTGTGTTAGGATCCAGGATTCAGAAATCCGTGTTAGGGTCCAGGATTCCAGTGTAAGGATTCAGGGTTTCCTGTTAGGGTCCACGATTACACACCGGCCCCACAGCTACATTTAAACAAAAGCTGACAGAGGAACACAATAGCTTATATGCTGAAGTCGCGTCAGACAGAGAGTGCATACAGCAGAGAAATCTATTAACCTGGGCACTGAATGACCATGGATTAGCAGGTCATTCACTTGACTAACGGTTACAGAGAGTGACTTAAACCAGCAGGTGGAAATGTTTTGATAACTGAACAGAGGGGCATTACGTCACCAGTGTAGCCGTACCAGGCTTATATACCCGCTCTCACCAGTCTGACTGGGGTATCGTTTGACCCACCCAGGGGGACATTTTATAGGCAGGGTTACAGCATGGCTATTTGACCATTGGTGGACATTAAGTGACTACAGGACATTAAGTGAACAGGGGGGACAGTTTGGTCTTTATGGACAGTGATTTTGGACATCATCTGACCTGTATCTGGACACAGAGTCTCTGGGCTTCATTTGAACATTGATTTTACCTTGATTTTACACAGCTGTGTCCTTGTGGTCAGTACTTTGAACAAGAAATGACCACATTGGTCAGAATAAAAGTGACTGGACACTTGTGCTACAATTATGGTCAGTATTTCAGGCATATTAGTAGACACACATTGACCCTTAGATCAATCAGATCTGACCGTTAGCAGCTAAGTGACCTTATTAGCGAGAAAATCGTGACACTGATCAATATCCGGGTGGAGTATTACGAGGTGAAAATTGCTGGTAATTATTTCCCATTGGAGAGATATTGGCATATTGATAACTGGAGGCCAAGCTCTGGCATACAAACCTCAAACTTTGGGGTTGATAACTACTTACAGTCACCCAGGATATATACTGGTATATAACCGTGCAGTTAAAACAGGAGAGATAAACCACTGTTTGAAGAAAGGTATTTCCTGATAGCCTGATTTGTATGTTTTTCACCTCCGAGGGACAAGGAACACATTGTGTGATGTTCTACAAGTGTTAGAGGGTGGACAGAACTTCTCTTGTCAGATATTGAGCTTTGTATCTACCTGTGTTTCTACCTGTCTGTATGTGGTCTGCAGGGGGAGGTAAGAGGACTTTTACCTGACAGGTGACATACAGGTAACACTACAAGGTGCCACCAGCATATTCTTCCAGTGACAGAGAGACAAAATCCAGGCAAGGAGAGATATACAAACTGACATACAAAAATCAATTAACTTTTTCTTATCCCAGCATCTTCAGCTTTTCTTTGCTGGCACGTGAGTAGGCCAAACAAAAGCTGTGAAATTCTGTCTGCTAGGAAGGGCAGTGCCTTGGTTTAGGATTGGTTGAGGTGAACTGAGGTTTGGCACCTGATATGTTGTGATCTCTTCACAGGACGGTGGCCCTCGTCTTTCTTACCCAGGACTGCTACTGCTATCTAAAGTACCCAGAAGAAAACTGAAATAAAAGTACTCAGGGTTTAGTAAGGTCAGTGGCACTAAAATACCCGCTGTGACAGAGTGTTGTATGACAACTCCGATTTGTGTTCGTTCTGCTCAAGTTGCCAGATTTCTTGGATGTCATTTGGCCACCCGTCATCAGGATAACAGCATATCATAATTGCTATTGATTATCAATTATTAGATGTGACATTTTTGCAAAAAGGAGATTTGAATTAGTCACAGCAGAGATATTGTGATATATAAAGCATAGACTGCTGCCTGAATGCTATAGCAGTCTAAGATTCAAAGAAAAATATTGGAGTTGCTGGTTAATGTAAATTGCTTAAGGGATTGACAGTTTTCTCCATAATCAGCGATCCTCAATTTCAGTCGTACATCCAGTTAAAAAGTTCCAGAGTGTGAAAGCTCAATAAAGAAGTGACCAGTTGCTGATGCGT